AGAAATATAATTAATAATAAATTTTATTAAAGATCAATGTTTCATCAAACCTAATTAACAAACCCGTAATCACTAAGAATGATATATTTTATTTGCTATTTTGTTGTTTCCGGTATAAAAAGTATATACATTACGCACAAAACCGTATAGGCTTTGTTTCCATGATCTTAAAATAAATTGTTCAATATAAAATATTCTACATAAAAATTTATACATATTTATACACGAATAAATATACTGTTACAGTATTAACAATAAGTTAACAATAATTTAACAGTAAGTAACAGTATTAACCGATAAGTTAACTAAGCTAATTTATATTCTGATATTAAAAAATATATGTATTCTCGATAATTCTCGATTTCAATATGCACTGTAACCGCAAGTACCAGAGAAATTTAAAATCGGAAATAAATAAAGTACCAAAAACTTACTTTGTTTCTGCTCGAGTTCATTGGTTTAGCGTGTCGATAACAATTATAATAGAACTACACAAACAACAAATTTCACATCTGTGGAATGTAATTAAATCTAAACAATTGAGAGAGACACTGTCAGAAATTTCAAAAGAGCACAAAACTGTGTGAAGTTGCGCACGTAACATTACGCGCGAATATATCCATGGAAACCGTGCTTTAGATTTCCGGCATTTCTGATAGGATTGCAGAACCCAACGGAAAAAGTTTAATGGCTACCGATGTAATTGCAAATGGCTGACAGAACGAGAGAGGATGGGTCTTGATTTCGTATGCCCGAAATTAATATTTTTAAAAAATGTCGTGTATCGTTCACACGTGCTAGCTTGAACGGTGTTTCTCGTTGAAATTACTGTCATAATTATACGTGAATTGAACGCAAGCGTGGTAAGTGTAACAAAGTACGCGGGAAAAAAATGACTCGTGGCCGGAGACACGCGCCCTCAGTTAAACTCATCCGGTAACCGTCTCGAGGCACGTAAGCGCGTGGAATTTCGAATTAATCGATAGCATTGTGATTGTACGTGGCCGCAGTCGGAAAATATCGTTTATAATGTGAAATGTGTTACAATACCATCGACGAAAAATATTTACGTAAAGTATAACGTGTATAATCATCAAGAGAAGGTAAACAATGAATCTGTTGGCGCGGTATCTATTGCACGCCGCGTGCTTTTAGTGTACTTTGTTAAAGGTTCGGGCTGACGTCGTGTAATTATTAAGAAAAGTTCCGCGTAATTTCGCCTGTTTCCTCGTCGCTTCGAGTAATTCATACGCTGTTGCTTAATTCTATTGTAAATGAACAGTGATATCGTAAATGAATTAATAGTGAAATTAACCCTTCTAACTTAGTATGTATGGCTGTATTCATAGTCGGTACATATCTTAAGTATAGGAAAAGAAGAATACGTTGCGTAAAATTTGTCTTTAACACGCTCTGAGTGATTTCTGTATAACAATTGTATTATTTTGCAATATATTATAAAAAAAGAATCGATCCTTTGTGCTTTTGATAACAAAGTTTTATTATAAACTATTTTATTATAAACTATTTGATTTTTTTTTGTACAATATTCGTTATTCATGTTATATTGACAATTCTAATAAAAAAGAAATTTTAATTTATTTATTGATATTATTTGATATTGATAAAGTTAAAATGTGAAACTGGTGTAATTTGAAGCACTTATTTACATAAGATATTATTTCTGATTTATGTTGAAATTATATGTTCTAAAATATTGCACGTGTATTGTAGAAAATAATGATAAATGTTAATATTATGTTTGCTTATTAATATTTTTTAATCTTAATGATAAAACAAGTATGTATATTGTTTAATATATTTATTTTATTTTTATATATTGTTCACATAGGAGAATCAAAGGTTTTTACTATAAAATAAAGTAAAGTCAAGTGAAAATGCCTGCTGTGAGCATTTGTGATCCGGTTGCGGCTACACTCCGTCGTACTTTGGAGACCAACCAGACCAAAACATCAGATGACTTGTCAGCGAATTTAGTCACCAGTGCATCAAGAATTCTTCAGTCAGAAATCCAATATAAAGAAGTTGATGACTATCAAACAACAATTTTGGATCAATTAAAAGCAAAATACATTGTACTAAATTTACCAAATTCTGAGAGCTCTGATGACAAGATGAAAGATGGAACAAATTATGCAAAAAAGAATGAAAAGGCATTTAAAGGACCCAGCCTACCAGAACCAACTGTTACTTTATATTCTCCAAAGAAAGTTAGCCTAGGATGGAAAGGTACATTTCCAGTTGGGGCTGGCATGTATAATGTTGGAAATACATGCTACTTAAACAGCACTCTTCAAGCTTTGTTTCATGTGCCAGCACTTGTAAATTGGTTATTGTCAGACTCTCATCATGCATCAAAATGTGAACAAAATGGTGCGTTGTTAAAATTTATAACATATTTTACCATATTTTGTGCAAATTAAAAAAAAATGAGATTATAATTCCATAGT